GCAACGCGACTGGTAGCACGGCGTTGTCAATGTTTCTTGCAGTCCCCTACTAAAACTGAACAGAGCAACACCAGTGAAGTTGTACTGCAGCTCCCGTGTCGCGAATAGCGGGATTCCTTGTAGGTCATGCGCCTCCAATTTCTGGCGCTAGCCACCCGAGCTGAGTGGGCACCAGAGGGAACATTCAACCCAGCCTTCGCTGGACCCGGCAGTGTCACTAGCGGGGCCAAGGGGTTCAGTAATTACATAGAGAGAGAGAGAGCGGGCGATTGAAAATCATCCCACCCGAGAACCATGACAAGACATCGTCATTCTGAACCCTTCAAATTCCCTTAAGCATGGGTCATTGCGCAACCCCGGGGTGAAGAGGGTCCAGGCATTCTGAAGCCCATCAAAACTCGGCCACCTTGGCGCATCTAGCGTTACTCAGCTGCCCTCTCAGCGTAATGTTGACCCAGGATTAATAAACCCGTCCCATGATTGGGGGGTGTTCCCTCCAAAAGTGGTCTGAATCCCCACTAAAAGGGGCCACCCCCCTATGAATCAACCAGGGGTATTATTTATCTGGGGTTAACATTAGTCTCCAACCACTCGACCTACGGTCAGGCGGGCGCACCCGCCGGGCATGTTCACCTTAATGGCGGGGCCATCAGGCACTCGCACCACGGCGTCCCCGGTGGCCTGAGGCGAAGAGGAGAAGCAGCCGCCGAAACCGAAACCGAAAATCCCTGTTGCCCCCCCCAAAAATCATCTGAGATCTGCTTGACTCAGTTCACGGCCAGAAATAATACCGAACACTCACACAACACACACACACACACACGTATGACTGAGTGAGTTCCCAACGACCAGAAATAATACGAAAACACTCAGTTCCAAGGACCTAACATACTAGGATAACCTTTTGGGGCCATGACTAAAAATGGGCAGATAATGGGACATGAAAAGATGAAAAGTCGGGCTTGGGCAAGTGGATTGATTCTGGCCTGTAACGTGTGAAGAGAGCTGAAACATCTGGTGCTGACTTCGGCCCCCGCAAAACCCACAACTAAAGACGCGAAAGGAGCAGAGAAAGATCAACGAGCCCAAAATGGCTCCACAGGGATCCTTACATTATACACCTGAACATTGCCTTGTAAATGGTGGTTTCCCTTTATTTGGTGGAAAAAGCAACATGTTTAAGATGGGCACAATGTATCTTTTAAGGAGCCCTGCTCCATTTTGCACGCTTGCTCATGAGTGGGTACATGTTCATCCCCTCGTTCACGCGTCCCCATATTCTAGCCAGAGTCCAATGATTTGAGAATAGTTGTTCAATCGTTGACCCTTTCGTGGACATCGTTTGGTGAATGTTGTGTCCACCAATGACATTTCGGGGGGTTCTCCATTCAAAATCGTGAGCCTGCACCCGAAAGAACTACCCATGAAAAAAAGGGAAGTGATTCAGCCACCATAATCTTGGGTTGCAATAACCAACCATTTTACAGCTGGAATTTTGAAGGTTTAGGTGGTTGCTACATAGTGGTCATATATCTCTCCCAGCCTTCTAAAGGACCCAGGGGAGGGAATTTTAGTGTTTCGTATATATATATATATATGTCTCATCATTTTCCTTGGGACGTTCCTTGGTTGACGCTGAAAGGGCAGCAACAATTTAAATGTTAGCAGTTAAGTGGTTGGATGTCCCACTAAACTAAACCACAATAAGCAAAAAAGATTCAAATTGTTTCCCAACAACCACCAAACGGTTCGGTGGCCAACAGCCTCTCCGCGGCAAAAAATCGACAAACCCCGGCGGCGATTCTCGTTTTCAAAGCTGCCGCCCGCGCCGGGCTCAGGGAGCCGGCGGCCACCGCAATCACCGCCTCGCGAGCCGCGAGCGAGCGGAGGTCCAGGGAACCCGAGCAACGGGGCGGTGGGAACGGTGGGGCAAAATGGGGCCGTGCCCGGAGCCCGAAACTTGGTGGACTAAACCACAATAGGCAGAAAATTTGAAATGTTTCCCAACAACTACAATGGAAAGAACTCTCCAAGTTGGAATTCGCCCATTCCATCATTGTGGGTTGCAATCGTTCCCGTGTTTAAGTTGGAATTTGTTAGGGTATAGGTACACTGATTCGTGTTCTTGGCTCTGGCAGGGGATGTTTCCCAGTGACTAAGGATACCAGATTCAGATTCGGAGGTGCCGTTCTATTTCTCCTAACGTCACTTAGGCAATTCAAGGTAGGCGCACGACAAGATTGAAAACTTCCAAACGGGACCCTGTGGCTCAAGAATAGGGTCCCAAATGGGTCGCCCTGGCCAATGGACAAGTAGATTAAAACCGGTCCCCTAACTCTGAAATGTTGACCTACAGGTTTCAAGAACAACAAGCAAGTTGAAGATGAAGGAACCCTTATCCGGTTCATTGGCTCTCCAGTGATTTCAGTTGTTGATTGGGCAAAGGGGTGTCCCACCCGTCAAAGCAATGGGAACATGGCGAAGGACTACCCCCAAAACAGCCAGAGCCGATTTGATGGCACTATATGTTTTTGCCCCGGAGGTGGCATTCTGGATGGGTTTGAAAGGGAAACCAAAGGGAAACTACCTACCAGAACATGCTCCCACATTTTTCAGAAACACCCATGCAGGTTTAACCCTTACCCCATGGAACCTGGCTGGAGCCCGCCCAAATTGCTCTTGAACTGACCCGCGCGTTTTGGGTTGCATGCGCGATCCAGCCGCATGTCATCGGCCAATTGCCGCTGTGGAGGTCCAGCTGAAAGGCTCCCGAGGTCGTAGGCCATGATCGTGGGCCCTTGCCCGTGCGGCCGCTTCACAGGCGCTTTGAGCAGCGGATCCCGGAAGATCTCCCGTTGGGGTCAATCAGAAGGGTTTTGGCCAACCTGTCTGTGGACGGTTGCCAGATCCATCTCGAACCACTTGGAAACCATGGTTGAAACTATTAGTTTGCTGGTACGTACAGGGGAATAATCATATCATTCAAGGGTTTCTTAGGCGGTGCGAAATGCATTTCGTCCATCCACGGTAGAAGCTTGAATTGGCAGTAAACCCTGTGCTTTAAGATGTCCATTTGGAAGGCTTCGGCGTCTTGTAAAGGACCCGACTTTGTTCCAGGTCAGTTTTGGCCTTGGTGACAATGAGCTGGCGACATGACCTTATCTTGGTTGACGTTGGAAGGGGAGCAAAGATTTTAATCTTAGCAGTTCAGTGAGGAAATCCACCACTAAACCACAATACGCAAAAACGTGAAAAATGTTTCCCTAGGTCCTCCAGTAGAGAGATTAGAATAAGGGTGCCCTTTTTTCTGTAGTCTATTTTAGTAGGCAGTAGGGGAGTTCAGTTTTCCCCCCCCAAAAAAGGGCAAAAGGGCACTACTGGGGACCTAGTTCCCAACAACAACCATGGAACCGCGTGAAGAACTTGCTCTGAGCCGGGCACCGCCCAGGACATGATCTCTGTCCTGCGCCGACCCAAACTGTCGCCCCAGCCTTGGGAAATTGAGGTGGGCTGGCGCATCTGAGGCTCGGTACCCTTCTTTTGCAGAAACACACAATTCCAGGCGAATGCTTCCCAATCTAGAGCAGTAGGAAGCTTCTTCACGGCTCGAAGAAAGCCCAAACTTGCTTGCCCAGACAAGCCCACAGCAAGTGTCTCGCCTCGCCAGGTGAATTACTGCAGGGCAAACCGCATGAGACTCCGTGGCCCGCCCAAAAGGGGAAAGGAGTGCCAACAACTGGGGTGAGTAAAAGTTACCGCACATTGGTGAATCTTTGCGATGCAATTGGCATGCCGCATCGGTTGGCAGCCCAAGCTTGTTATGTTCTTTCAAAGGGGTCCCAATGGTTTTGGTTGACTGAAAAGGCAAACCAGCCACTGTCGGTCCCCAAGCAGCTCCCCACAAAAACTCACATGAGCACGGGCAGAACATGTTCCCGAGAAGTAGTGGATGGCAAATGTTGCACTTTGAAACCATTGGAAACCATTGTTTGTTGTATTTGCAAGGTCATCATTCCAGGTGCGAAAATGGATTTCGTCCATTCACAGTATAGGTGCCCCCCCATGCTTCGCACGCGGAGCATGGAGCCAAAGTCCTCCGGCCCATTTAGCTCCTGGCGGCAAAAACCCGGCGCATGCGCGCGGGTGCTCGCGGGTTCCAAGTCGGTCGCCGTGGGACGTAGAAAATTTGGAGCTTGGCGGTACCAACCGAAACTAGCTCATGACCATGGGCCATGGGAAAACACACAATTCGTCCAGACCTCGCCAGTTGCAGGCTTTCCATCGCCCCTTGCTTCCGGCTCCAAGGGATTAGAATTGATAAATGGATGCAGACTTCTCAGGTGCCCATTAGGCACTTCAGCCACCCCTGAACACTTCTAACCTTACACTTCCCCCACTTGGAAGCAGCAGTTTCCGCCAAAGGCAGTGCCTCACGTGGGGCTGGTGTTGATGGATGGGTTGGGGGTGATTCGGTAGCCGTGCACAAATTGAAGCCATGCGGATTCTCTCTAAACAACAAAGATTGTTTCTCAAAATAGGGATCGGCCCACTTACAGGATGGTTTTAAGAGGAAACCAAAAGGAAACCAGCCTTCCCCCCAACAAAAAACAGAGAAAGGTGATGTCTGAACGGGCTGAAAATGATAATGTGGGACCCCCTGCCACACTCTGAAGCGATGACGTGGCTCATGTTCAACAAAAGATATCTTATCTTGAGTCCGTTTTCCAACGAAACCGATCTCCAAGGTGGCCACGCCACTGCCCACCGGGTTTCCTTTAGAGGTTTGATGGGATAAATGTGTGACCAATGGGTGGAGACTGCCTAAACCTTCAAAAGTCCAGCTTTAAAATGGTTGTTTTTGCAGCCCAAAGTTTGGGTTGGCAAATTCCCCCCTTTTTTATTGGTATTTTGAGGGCAGGGTTGTTGTTGGGTCTCGGGCTTGGGGGGGTGGAATCTATCTTAGATCCCTCGAATGGATGGCTACAAACGCTGCCAGTGACGCCCTTCAGGGCTGCTGCGACATCCCCATCAGGGTACAACGGTAATTCTGGAACGAAGAACCAAAGGAAACCACCAACCTATACCCCCAAAAAATCCAACTTAAGACTGGGTGATTGCAACCCAACATTATGGTTGGTGAATTCCAACTGTTGTTAAATGGGTAGTTCTTTCAGGTCCAGGCAGACTAATTTCAATCCTCAGCGCTCTTGATTGGAGAAAAAAACCCTTACAGCAAGTGCCCCTCTGCCCCATGGTGGAAGGAGACACCTTGATCTTGCTGGGCCAAAGGAAAGCGCCAAAAAATCAACCTGAGCAAATCCAACACTCGAATTGTGATTGCCCTGAGATTGTCAGTTGCAAAGGGACCTGGAAGTGATGGCCTTATCATGACAAAGATGGTCTCCTTATGGGAAAATGGAACCCTGTTGTTTCAACCCAGCAGTTTGCCAACCTCCATACCTGTTGGTTGGTCCTTGCAACAGGTTGGCGCCCCAAAGAAAATAGCTAAGAGCTTGTCTTTCGTTTAACTCCAGTTTTTCAGCCATGAAAGGAATATTCACCATGGCCCAGGCTTCAGTGATCTCACATATGTGCCATGTCGGCCATGGTCACGGTTCCCTTGGCGCGAGGAATCCTTGCCATGGTTTTTTTTAAAAAAAATCCTCAAGGGGTTGAACATATGCAGTCTCTAATCCCACGTAAGGGAGGTCTTTCGACTGCAGCCCCCCACCCCCAAAAAATAGTAAAAGGAGAATTCAAAGAATTATTCTTTCTACTATTTTTTCTCCAACAGCAACACAACAAACAGAAAACAAAATCCAGAACAACAAGCAAACAAAAAAAAAATCACAACCAGCAACAAAAATATTTAATCACAGCATGCAACATTAAATAATTCAAACAAGCATACCAACAAAACAGCAACACTCTAAATCATCAAAGAACCCAAACTCAAAAACACACATCAACAAAAATCAAAGCAACATACTAACAAAAAATATCATAAGAGTATCAAACAAAACAAAAACAATCAGCCAAAGCACGAAAAAATTGAAGAAGCATGCCAAGTCTAAACAACGCACTTTGAAAGAGATAAGCAAATTATAATAATTCAATCTTTACAAACGATAAATATATTACACTTATAACATATAAGGGTATAAATGTTATTATTATAGTATGATTAAGAAGTTATTATGCTATGTCAATCACTCCAGAGCACAGCGTGGCTTGTCCATGAGCATATGTGAGCACTCCTGTGAGCATCTGTGAGCACTCCCTTAAGCATATGTGAGCACTCCCTTAAGCATATGTGAGCACTTCCTTAAGCATATGTGAGCACTCCCTTAAGCATATGTGAGCACTTCCTTAAGCATATGTGAGCACTCCTGCCAGCATATGTGAGCACTGTTCCAAGCGTATACGCGCACTTTTGGATATTCCCCTTAAATCTATCATTTTCAAATTTTAGAATTCCTATTTTTTACTGTGTTGTCGTTGGATGAACCTAGAAATTTCAAGTTTCAAGCCCAACCCCAAACTCAAAACCCTTAATCCGTCAAACTCACCAAGATTTCACAAATTAATTCGCTAGGTATTTTGTATAGGTCTTCTTGCTAAATAATTCTAATACATTCATATTATTAGAATTATTTAGATATTAATTATTCAAATAATACATATACTCCATCATCATTTTTTGTAATTTTGTAAAATTCTAAAGTGGTGTTTTTAGGTTGTTTGATTTTTCCTGTATTCAACATATCACAGTATTTCTTTTGCTTTGTAGGATAATCACCCGTTGGTCTTCCTATAGATTTTGCTTGAAATATCTTTTCGATTTTTTCTTTATCTTCATTGCGTTCAACTGGTTTCATTTTGTCATCAATGGATTTAATCATATCATTTAAGGTTTTAATATTTTTACCAATTAATGTTATCTTCTTCATTAAATCATTAATACTATAATTCTCATTTTCAGACATTACTATATATTTATTTAGATAATTATTTATTTAATTATACGTTTTATTATATAATTTACCTGAATAATTTAATGTTATATATGTAAATAAATTATATTCTAAGAGTCTTTCATCAATTTTATTTTTCAATTTTATTAAACCTTCATCGTTACCTGTAATTTCAAAAAACTTCAACATTTTATCAAATTTATCTGGTTTAGTTATACCTTTCATAAAATATTTATTGTTAAATTTAGCATCTAACCAATAAAAATATTCTATACTCAATTGCCTAGCAAAGTTTTTATCACCATCGAATATATCATTAATTTCTTCATCGTCAAAAGTTATAATTCTATGGTCTTGTCCATTCATAGTTGGCATTATGATTATATAAATAATTAGATATTTATTTAAATATTTATTTATTTATATTTATAAAGTGCAATTATGTTAAATCTACTCTTTAAATACTAATTTTTCATGATTTGTTTAACAGTTTCCTGAGTTTCGTTTTCATTATTATCGGTTGGTGTTGCTTGCCTACCAAATTTAAAAGTTATACTATGGACATCAGTTTCTAAGTTGATACTGTCTTTAGTTTTATCAATACTCATTTTCTTATCATTTTTACTTATTTTGAAACTTGTTGGAATACATGAACATTTACATGTTTTATTATTTTTTATTTCTAATTCATTTTTAAGTTCTAACATCTTTTTGCACATAGGACAAGCAATCTCAAATACTGATGTTTCTTTAACAATTTCTCCGCTATCTTCTGTTGAAGAAACACTTAAACCTGTCTTATTCTTTTTGTTTTTCTTTTTTGGCATTTATATTAGCATTTATATTTTTAATATATTGTATCAAAAACTTAATTAATTCTAAAATAAAATAACATATTTTTTTACATCTATTATCAGTTATTAGTACTTGTTCTATATTCTCCATTTCATCTATTATATTAATATAATCTGAATAACTCCTTTTCATATTAAATAATAAGATAAATTATTTTTAATTTCTGTCTTTCTTTTCTTGTAAAGTTTTTTCATTGTATCGTCTTTATTCCATCTATATTCTACAAATTTCTGATGATGTTTTGAATTTAGATGTTTAAATAAATATTTGTCATCATAAGTTTTACCACAATTGCAATGGATAATTGTCATATAAATAATAAGATAAATTATTTTCAATTAATCTTATTATTTTCATGCATAATAGATTATTGGTGGGGCACAGCACTTGGGGTTTTCATTGCACGCGAGAGAGATACAAACTAATTAGCTTCAATGCTTACTGATTGAAGCAATGGAAACCTGTTCCATTATGTTATTCACCGCCACTCATAACATAATGATGGTCGCGTTAGCACGCGAGGCTCGTTCCTCGCGTCCATTAATATTAAATAGAATATTTATTTAAATTATTTTCTTTAGCTTTAGTAAGTTTTAGTGCAGTTAGCATATGAACATCTAGAATATTATTATTAATAACTTCTTGTACACTATTTATCATTTCATCTGTATATATATTAGAATAATCTTTCATAAAATTTACTAACTTTCTAAAATTAAAATCTAGGTTATTGTCATTTTCAATTGCGGACTTGGATACTACGATATTATAATTTTTAATTCCAGATAAAAAGTATAACATCGTATCATAATATATTTGTACAGTATCTGGAACTAAGACATCACCAAATTTATATATCCTCCGAATACTAGCCACTTCACTTAAATTAATAGATTCTATAGCCATTATGATATAATTATATTATATATTTTTTTTATTTATAAGTATTTATAATATTATTTTTATTATGCCTGATGTAAAACCAATTGATGAAATCAAATATGACTTTAAGCAAAGTAAGCATGAGGTCGTCCCTAAATTGCCAATGAGAGCTATGATTGTCGGTCCATCTGGAAGTGGAAAATCAACTTTACTTGTATCAATGATACTTGATATTTATAGAGGAGCATTTGAAAGAATTTTTATCTGGTCTCCATCTGTAAATTTAGATAGTATTTGGTTGCCTGTTAAAAAATACATTAAAGAAGGTTTGAAAGTAGATAATGATAAAGAACCGTGTTGGTGGGATGAGTTCAATGTTGAAGATTTAGAAAGAGTTATAG